AGGAGGGGGCGGCGGGGAGCGCTCCGGCGCCCGGCGGAGCTTTGGGGGCGGTGGGTGCGAGCGTGGATTTTTCCCCTGCTTCGTCCAAACACGTCCAGCAAACACCCTGCACCCTCCATAAACCCCAACCCCCAGCCCCGAAGCGCTCAATGCCCGGTGGGGCAGGGGCGTGGGGGGGGGGGGGGGCCGGCGGGGGGGGGCCGCGGGGCCCGCGGTGTGTGTGTGTGTGTCTTTGAAGGAGGCCGAGATCCCGCAGGAGCTCATCGAGCGGCTGGCGCACAGCGAGATCCACAGCATCCGCGACTTGCAGCGCCTCCTGGAGATTGACTCCGTAGGTAAATTAGTCCCGTCCTCCTTCCTTCCGCGCCGTCGGCCGCCGCCGCCCCGGGGGGGAGGCACCGCGGGCGGCCGCGGCGCAGCGCCCCGCACGCCTTTCGCCGCTCCGGCGGCGCGGCCAGGGCCGCCTCGCCTCGGGGGCGAGAAGCCGTGCGGGGACCCAGCCTGAAGAGCCAGGCTGGCCTGGGCAGGGGAGCTTTATTTCAAAGGGAGGCGGCGGCCAAGGGGCCGATCGGGAATTAAAACTTCGGGGGGTTCAGGGTGGAGAGGGACCTAGTGACCCTCTGTGTTTTCAGACCTCTCCGTCTCTCAGCGGAGAAGAATTTCCATAAGGTTTGTTGTTGGTCTTGCACTGCTCTGTTATCTTTAAACTACTGTCCTAGAGGTATTTAAAATATTTGAAACAATATTTATGAATGAAGTAATGTCTCTTCAAGCGCTGGGCTTTATTAAAAGGAAAATAAACCGTCTACGCTGATTTTAAACAGGAACCTGCATATGAAGCTTAACCTTAAAAATACACTTTTTTTCCAAAAGAAAATAGCGCAGGGTTATTTTCTGCATCATTAGGCATGCAAATGGGTGTAGTGAGAATGTGCAGTTCAAACAGATCGTTGCAGCAGTAAATGACATCTAGAAGCACCGTATTACTGGGTTTCTTATCATTTGGTTTCACTTGATGCACTTTGTTCCTGGTGATTTCTTCCCTTAGTTGAGAGAGAATAAACCCGGCACCTTTGATGTGCCCAAGGGAAACCTGCATCTTTCTGAAGAACAAACATGGAGAAAAATGAATGAGTTTTGCTTGCGTTGGTACTGGGCCATCTCCTTTTAAACCATATGCTGTGTATTTTTGTAAAATCTGTGCCAGGTTCAATCACCTTCATTCAGCATTGCAGGATCCTTCTAGAGTTTAACTCACTGCTTTTTGTATAGTGCTGTATTAATGAGCAGGAATGCACTAAGAACGTATTTTACAGACATAGCTTTCAATTTTCATGTGATTAGGGAGCAAACGGTTTCCCATTACACTGAAAATGGGAATATTTCTCTCTTGCACAATACTTTACCAGAGAGGCTAATTACTAATTACCAGATTCATTGGCATCGGTTTAGTATATTTGGAGAGCAGTGCTTCATCATTATTGCTTATCACTGCAATTAAAGAAGCTTTCACAACAGGGAAGGGGTATGCAATACATATTTCCCCACTGAAGACTGTTTTGGACCAGACAAGTGCACTACTGCTAAAATCTTTTTCCCAGTGAACTCAGTGGAAGGCTTGGCTGCTGTTGCAGAAGGGCTGGATCTGAGCGCTAGTGTTTTAAAATACTGCATGCTGCTTCTGCGTTTGAGTCGGTATTCTGTAGCTACCAGAAGACATTATTTTTTCAAATGCCCCAGTGTAACAAGCACATGCTTCATTTTTAAATACCACTTACAAGGAGAGCAAAAGTTCACATGGCTCCATTGCAAGAGAATCAAGCAGGCAAGTGGAGCAATGGCGGGAGCTGAATAAATTCATAGATGTAGCCAAAAAATTTATTTCAGAAAATAATTATTTACCTCGTGGCTAATATTAACCAGAAGAGGATGCATGACCAGAAATGGAAGAGGTCAGCCACGAGTTTACCATTTCGTTTTGCTGTTTTCATGCAATTTGTCAGTTTAGAAACCATTAGAGAAACAAGACACATGAATATTTTACTATTTCAACATGAAACAGTAATGCCTTAAGACACAAACTCAAACAGTATTAAAAAATAAAAACAAAATATTCAGCTTTTCACCCTGTTCTTGCTTATGTGAGTGCTCCTTTTGCACGCCTGCTGCGCTTTATTCTGAGCTACACAAGCAGGATTGGATCTTCATAGAGAGTAACTGGTCTTTACTACCCGCATATACGTTTTCTGGGCACAGTCCTGCAGTCTTTACTGTCATGAGCAATTCTTATTAAGGGTTTATCAGAGTGACTAATCGAACATTGAAATTACCATGTTTTCTTCAGTAAACAGGATCAGGCCTGTTTACTATATTTAGTATTAGCTTGGATTAGCAAATCAAATGTTTTCTAGTTGTCACTGGTAAGATAATATTTCTGAAATGTATTTCCTTAGGGCCGTAGTTGCATTTAGGGAAGGGCTAGTTCAGTGAAGGCTTGTACAGTGGATGTATTTGTATTTTATAGCATACACTCATTTAAACTGAGGCTCAGAATAAAACACTCCAGTGATTATTTTCTCCCTCGTTTTAGTGCATGGTATTGCCAGTCCTTCTGCATGTGAGTAGCCCTGTTTAAACTCAGTGGGTGGACTCGAGAATTAAGAATGGTCTTGTAGGGGAAGAGTTTGCAGGATCAGGCATGCATGCAGAAAATATCTGATATTTCTGAGTAACAAGACAGAATCTGTGGAAATTGAAGGAAGAACAGTCATTTTCTCTCCTGCAATGCAAAGCATGTATTTTTAATTGGAAAAGTAAGTTTTATAAGTCAGAGTGGGCAGGTTTTTCTTCTATTCTGACAGATTTGGTCTCTATATTGTAGCGCAGAGATGACTGATAACCCCCTTCATAAAATTAGAAACCACACCCCCAGACCATCTGGCATATTACTTAAAGAAAAACACTACCCAACATGGAGCTTGTCATTGTATTCAAAAATGAAAATCCAGGCCAATTTGTCAGAGCCCAGTGCTGCATGTCCGATTCAAAGAGAAATCCCTGTAAAGGCAACATGAAAATTCCTTGTTTATATGAGAAACAGGGTCTTATATTAATTAATTTGCTGTGATTGGGATCCATAGTCAGCAACAGAGTTTCCTTGGCGTGACGGAGAGCAGAGCCTGACCCTGTTTAAAACAGAAAGCATGCACGATCCCAGGAAGTAGGCAGCTGTAGCGTGCAGAGTACAGTTTTACTACTAACAGACTAAATCACCGAAACGGGGGCATTTCCTATATTCTGCCCGTGAAGTTCTCTTTGGCTTAGCAGCGTGGTTTTTCTCCCCGCGCTTCACCTCTCCCGTCTGTCCTGTGGGAGGTAGAGTTCATTTCATCACCTATTATGTTTGCCTCCCGCTGGGAACAGATTTTCCCCCAGTCGTCTCCCTGCGTGGGGAAGCGCAGGGCTGAGTGTGCTTCTTTGCATGGTTTAAGGGCATCAACCACAGGGTCACCTTAGGCCATGTGAATTTAACAGCCTGTGATTAAGAACTAGCAGAGCAGCTTTTGTTAAGTGGAGAAACGTTCTAAATTAACAGTATACTTTCATGGAAAAGTGTTAGATTGCTGCAGAGCTCAATCTATTGGAAAATCTTCTGCTGACTTTGTGCTTTTGGTGTGGCGCTCAAATTGAGGATGTTACAGTGCAATGTGTTAGCTTTCCTTGCACCTCTTAAACATTATGAGAGGCGGGCATCTGCCATGTGTGTCCTGTGTTTTTCCTGAGACAGATAGAGGGAATACTCCTCCTCCTTTACAGTTGGTTGATCACATCTAGGTAAAGGGAAAAAAACCTAAACAAAACAGGATCTTGCAGGCGGCTACTTATATTTCCTTTAATAGATCAAAGTTGAAAACTTAATGACATCTATCTCTGCAGTTGGATGTCAGAAGGGCATATTTTGCATCAGCCAGAAAGAAGATCAAACAAACAGATTGACGTTGCCTTGGGCTTTCTGGCTCTAGGACCGATTTGTAAGACAGACCATTTCAGTTTATTGTACCTTACATTGAATTCCTGAAAAAAAAAGAGAGAATGAGAATTTCCTAAACTGCTGCTGTTGGTACTAGAAGTGTTGGACCTACATTTTTTGGATGCACATCAAAGTGACATGTAGAAGGTTTGTGTTAAGACTGCATATATTGGGGATGTACCTCGCATAAAATTGTTTCGGAAGGAGATAGCAATGCGACAGTATAAATTGATAAATATAAAATAACAGTCGTGTTAGGATGCTTTCCACAGGCTTATTTAGTGAGAAGAGTAATCACATATTGGCAGAATGTCATAGGAACTCTGTGATTTATACTCCACGACCCAGTGGAAAAATGCCAATCTGACAAAAAAGAACAATTTCAGCTACAGTAATGGATTGACCAAGGCTAATTGCAAGAGTTTTTATACCCATCATTGATATGTTGTCAGTACCTAAAAGATCACAGAGAAGGTTCTTGATGGGCTGCCATGAAAACTTTTATTATTAAAACGTTAAAAGAGAGCTGCATTAATCTGGCTCCGTGTAGCATCCTCCATCTTCACTACGTGACAAGCAGTGTTCAATTTCTAAACTAAGAACCATCCGTTTCTAAGCTTTCTGCTCTAAGCCTCATTTTGTGAGGCACTAAGCACCCATAAACTCCCATTTCCTTTGCTAAGAGCATATCTGTATCCTGCAACTTCATGCTCCTAAATCAGTACATTAGGGGAAAAAAACTGATGCAAATTAGGTATCAGGCTTATTTAAAGTCAGACTAGAGAGTGCTATTTGTAGTTACTGTACCATCGTTGTTTTAATGAAATAAAAGAAAGTCTTCTGGCCACACATCCAGAGTCAAGTCTGCGTTTCAAGGCTGACTTTCTGTTTTTTGGTCCTGCTTGGGCAAGACTTCTGGTGACTTAAAGTTTGCTTGAACTTCAGTGATTTTCCCATTGACTTCACTGGGAAATGGAATTCCTTCCAAATGCGTGTGGGGATCGGGGGGGACACCAAGTGCCTTTAGCATTATAGTGTCTTCTGGCTCCAGCCATATGCTCCATAATTCTGTTTATTAAAAAAAAAACAACAACACATCGATGCTGTGTCGATAGAAATAATACAATATGTGTTGCATAATGCATTGAGGTTTGACTGGAACTTATTTTGCAGTCTGCTGTGCTAGCTCTGTAGATCTCTTCTTTTAACCCTCACAGCGAGACATGAACTTAAGAAGTGATGTACATGCCTAAGATATGTAGCGAGACAGTGAGATACAGTATGAGCCAGAGGCCTTCTTCACCTTAGAAATCATCTTATAAGCAACACATGCTCCTCGACATGTCGTTTTGCTTTATAAACATGATGATAGAATATGGCTAATTGCAGCTGAGTTGAGCAGTTATATATAAGCACATGGCTTAACATATTGGTTAGCTGATCATACTATTCCTTTAGTCTTACCAGTTTCTTTAAACAAGACAGCAAGAAATCAGTCATGTTAGAAGGGAGCTATGCCAGCGTGTTGAATGTGGGATTAGGACCTGTGGCTCGGGCCTGCCGTACAGCTGGCATCATCGACGGTTTCTCTTTTCAGCAAGATGTCTGTGCCCACCAAGCAGTTCGGATTAGAGGCATTAGTTTTGTGTTTAATCTTTTTAAAACACTGTTTGCATGTGGACGGAGATGCTTCTTGCTCTGAGCCTAGCTTGGATCTTACACTAAGCAGAATTCATGCTGCTTTCTTTTGAATATCACTTCATTGCCTCAAACTGAGGGAGAGATTGTGACAACTCCAAGCTGCCAAAAAGGAGGTCAGTATTAAGGTGTTGGGTGGCTGAGTGCTAGGAAGCAGAAGAGGGCTGAAGGAACATCAGAACGGATCCTCATTTTGCATAACACCATTTGGGGTCAGGTGGATGGCCTGGTGCTTTTGGAATGGCATGCGGGAGACCTGGCTCTGCTCCTCAGCTCGGTCGCAAGCTTCCTGTGGGGTCTCAGGCAAGCCATTTTATTTACCCCACTGATGAGTTTTCTGGAGTATGGGGTACAATAAAAGCAGAAATAAAATCCATTAGTCATTGCTGTGTTACATTACAGGACTGGGACTGCAAATAAGGCTCACTATCAGCTAATCATTTAGGTTCCAAAATTTCCCATCAAAAGCAGTGGGAAACAAGCACTCTACACAGGAAGTAGGAGCCAACTTATTTGGGTAAATTGAGAGTCTAGATTTCACACTGACTTATTTCAGACAAGGATCTGTTCTGCTGATAAGAATAGACAGGACCAGTGGGTGATCCTGGCACTACCTCTTGGACCTCCCATTTCATCTTCTCTTAGCTACCTACGATTGTATTTTCCAAGAAGTGAAGCTAAACCTTGAGGCAGAGAGCTCTTTCTGAGATGCTGAAGATACCATTGTCTTCATGTCTTTCCAGGCTCTGCAGGTGATTCCACAAGCTGCATGCTCTTTAGGTCAGGATTTCTTGGAGGGAGGAGAAAATTAATTGGTTGGTTTGTAGAGGAGACTCTCATGATGTGTATTACTAATAAAGCTGAAATAAAACAAGTTCTGGAGACACAGTCAACTGTACATACAAAACGAACTGGAAGCAGGGAGCGTGACAGTGCAGAAGACAGGAGTGTAGGATGTTGGTAGCTTGTAGAGGGTAACTGAGTACTGTATAATGGCCATTTACATTTTTTAGTGCACATCACAGTTTTCTTTGGAGCCAGCAGTGAAACCTTGAAACTCTTCAGTGATGTTACAGAGGGCACTCCAAGCAGCAGAGTGCTAAAAATCTTAGTTGCGGTGTACTGGAATCTGTATGCAGTCTTCAGTTTGCTTACATCTTCCCGATCCCCTGTTTGCAGATTGTGCTTGTCATTTTCAGAACCCTACTGCATGGGACATGACCTGGACTGCTTCACTTAACAAAACCAAATAGTTGGAGCAGTTATTTTGTTGTTTTTTATGATAAATGAAATGCCAAGTTTTCCATCTTTGCTTTTTCTCATGGCCCTTTAACCCATGTGGTAGGCTTATTTAGGGAACAAGACAAGCCTGGATGCAGTCCCAGAGTTTGCAGTAGCTTCAGATGCCCCTCCAAAGGTTAGGATACTTCACAGGGGATTTGTTCTGCAACAGAGAGGCTAAAAGGAAACCCATGCTAGTTACTTTTTGCTTTTGATTCTGTCCTAGTACTGCCCTGAACACTAAGCAAGAGAAAATTTACAGAGGCAGCATTGTTGCTGTTGGGTGTGTAATACCATATTTTTTACCATAGCCTCATACCAGAACTCCAAAAAACTTAGAAGAAACGTTTCACGTGAAGTATAATTGTTCTTATTTCTACACCTTTCCAGTAAGAAAAGCTGTATTATGCCTTTCACATAACAATGCAACTGTTTTACTTTAGATATGGTTCTGTGTCACAGAGTGTGCACTGTTTCTGGGGGCTTTCAGTAAAGTGGATATTAGAATTAAATTGTGCATGCTTATACGTGACATTTAACATCTATGTCTTCCCTGCCTTATGCCCTTGCAGTTGCATTGGCAGGAGTTACGTTAGACTAATTGCAGCAGGATTTGGTTTTATGCATATGAGCAGCGCAGGTTTATATGTATGGAACAGCACTGTAGCAACACTGATGCAAATAACATAGCTGAGGTTTAATATTTTGTTTCCTGTTCTAGGATATGATGATGTTTCAGAAACAAACTTGAGATCTTATAGTGTTCATTCTGCTAAACATGCGCAAGAGAATCGTCCTGTGCCCATTCGCAGAAAAAGAAGCATTGGTAAGAAACAAGCTGTTTGTACTTAGGGAGTAAAAACAGAGGGGGTGCTTTTGGTCAGCCAAGCAGGACATTTCACTGGAAAAACGCGACACGCACAAAGGGAAAAGGCCATTTCTAGTTTCTGCCTTTCTTTTTGCACGAAACGAGCCTTTGCCTGAGAAGCTGTCTTCTGGAGGATGTCCATAGGAGACAGACAAGCACAAATTCTTTACATTCACTTTCTTGTTGCAGCATGTTAGAAAGCTAGACCTTGGTTAGAAAATGCTGTGATATTCAATGTATAATTCATAGTGTGGGGAACAACTACAGCAGTGTGCCTTAAAAAACATCAACAGTTGGTAGAGTTTTCAGTACAGAAGCTCCACAAAAGGAAACAGCTTGACTCTTTATTCACAAGAAGAAACCAGCTTATACAAAAAATTAAAAGCCATTGATGGAAATGCTGGGGCATTGATTTCCATCATTGCGTAGGGCACCACGCATGTTTACAAGGGATTTTGTTCTTGCTAAACAATAATGATGGTGATCCAACAAAGCCCAAATACAAATTTAAAGAGATGCTAGTGAATTTTAGAATAGGATTTGTACACACTGCTTGTTCATCTGTTTAGATCTGAGTGTTTTACCATTCCATTTGACTGTGGAAAACATCCATGATCATATCTATTATAGGTAATTCAGAGTTCATATATTTGTACTTTAAGCTATGGTGGTACGCGGTAGATAGCACAGCATGCTGTCAGCCTGGATTTGCAGTGTGAATTGGCAAGCGCACTCGTCACATTGAATGCCTCTAGAGAACAGCGGTTCTGAAACAGTCTGCTACACTTGGCACCTTACTCTGCAAGGTGTTGAATGCCTCCCCATAAAAGTCAGTGGGAACTAGGTATACTCAATAACTTGTAGGAGTTGCCAGCTATCTTGCAGTATGGGATCCATTAATTTTCTTGAGTTCATGGCACTGGGGTTTGAGAAGAAGAATTTTCACTCTATTTAGCCAACTGAAATGCATCCCTTTCAAAACTAAGCCTAGATTTTCATGTTACAGGCACAGGTCAGGCCTGAACTTCTTGTACTTCGGAAGTAACTGAAGAAGCACAGGCAGTATTCCAGTTCCCTGACACATCTAACCCAAAGCTATCACTGCTTCCGCTGTAAGGCAAAAAAATCCAGGCTGCCTTCAGAGAGCTTACCATCAAACAAGTTGTCCCTGCAATTGCTATTTTCTGGACCGTTTTGAATTATCAGCTTGACTTCTTAGGCAGTCCCTAGGTTGAAAACAATACTTGGTTTGGATTTTTCATGGCAGCGTCATGCAGCAGTACAGAGTTACGCTTTATGATCCTCAGGTGGCTGAAACTTGTCTACAAGCTCACCTTACCTGAGCCCAACAGGTTATTGGTTTAGCTGCAGGTTTTTCAGTCATGCTACTTTTGTGGTTTTGCCTTATTCAAGAAATAACTAATTAAATAAGACCCACCATGTACAGACCTTTGATAACTTCATTCAGAAAAAACGGCAGTTGCCCTTTCGGATGGCAGATGGACCAGACTCCCTGATGTGGGGATGTTAAAGTTTTGGAAGTGGAAAATTTCAAGGTGGCACGGGTTGTTTCCCAGCTCAACCAGTTTGGGTGTGATCTAATTACCCTCAGTGCAACTTCTGTGGTGGTGTTTGCCGGGTATTGCATACTTGTGTGATAATACGTGTGTGCAGTGATCACCCCAATGTTGTAAAATAGCAGCTGCTGTTATGCAGTTGCTATGAGGCTGTATTAGAGGATCATCTAATCTGGAGAAGCCCCTGGCTTGCTGTCACTTCTAAAGAGCCGGGATTGTCTTATCTAATGGTACGTGCTCTGAGCTATGTTGGGAGCCAGGCCATTGTAAACCCTTGTTTTAGGGCTGGGCTTTTGGGAGTGAGTCAAGCTTCTCCCTAGGGTAGCACACATGGTTTAGTGGTAGGCAAACAGTACTCAGCACCGACTTGTCAGTGAGCAGTGGGAACTGAGAACACCATCTCAACCCGCCAGCTAAGGGTGCCACTCAAAAATCGATGGTGTAAAGTATCTGGGTGCTCTGAGGTGAGAGCAGCTGCTCACCTGGAAGTGTGAATTTCTTGTGTTTGCAGAGGAAGCTATCCCGGCTGTCTGCAAAACACGGACGGTTATATACGAGATACCTCGGAGTCAGATTGATCCCACCTCTGCCAACTTCCTGATATGGCCGCCCTGCGTGGAGGTGAAACGTTGCACTGGCTGTTGCAACACCAGCAGTGTGAAATGCCAGCCATCGCGGATACATCACAGAAGTGTCAAGGTGAGCAAATCGTGGCTGCGGAGCCCTAAGAGGGTCCCCTTAAGTCTAAATACTCCAGGTGTTCTTGTGGCTGTTCTGTGTGACCTGGTTCTCTGTTATCCATCGTCATAAGCCACAGGATCAGGTACAGTGCTCCTCTCCATTTTGAGTGAGCAGATGGCCTATTCAAGTTGCATGATTATTGGGAAATCTTGGGTTTGGATTTGATATTCACAGGATTCCCTTTAGGTTTTTCTTCTTTTGTAATGAAAATAAAGTTGCTTCTGTCTTTCCCATGATCTCGCACAGTACAAATCTTAAAGTTAAGAAGACAAAATGACTCAAGGGGCATTGGACTTAAAAAAATAAATAAATCACAGTATGGAATGCTGTTTTCTTAATTAAATATTATGCAGCCTAAATTGGGCTTTTATATTTGACAACATAACACTTTTGATCTGAAAAAATGTGTTTCAAATTATCTTACCCCAGGGATAGAAGACTCAACGGCTTCATGCTGTATTTACTCATTAGAGAAAATCCCTGTTGCAATTTTCCAGTAAATATTACGTGAAATATTTCTTATGTTCATTCGGCTTCACTGTGTTCTAATTTTTATCAGTGTTTAAACAAGTAATGTTGATCTACATCTGTGTGTAGGAGATTAGACTTACACTTAGCATTTATATTGTTAAGACTCTGAGTTCTTGTTGTCCTGAGTATTTTAAGAGCAGAATTTAAAAAAAACCCACCACATTCTTGAACATAAAATTGCCCAGCACAACACACTGATTGCTGTACTTGCAACAGATTTCTTATTGAGAAAGGTGCTGTTAATGTAGCGCTGTACATCCTAAACACAAAATAAGGCATCTAAGCCATTTCATTGTTTTTCATACACACAGGCATGCATCTGAGCAGGATATCTTTTTCTTTTCCATTTCTGAACATCTGAAAAATGCTTTCACACCCAAATAAGCTGGACAAACATCTGAACAGATTCCCTCAGTCTTTCAAAAAATAATTATACTTTACACTTGCTTGCTGCCCTTCCTTTGTGGGATACACTTTGCAGTAACAATTAAAAATGAGGAAAAAATTGGGATCAGTAATTATTTGAGGGCTGAGAACAAACTGGGGAACTTGAAGCACTACAATTGCAAGCTGTTCAGAATAGGAGTTAAAGAGCAAAGTGCCTCAGGGTTTTAATATCTAATGCTGTTCCCTTTGGGTTTGATACAGCTTCCAGTTAATTTTGTGTAGCAACTAATACACACAAAGCAGCCGGAGATGCCCAGCAAAGAGTTGAGCCATGTATTGTGAACTTGCTGTTGGTACTTGGGTGCGATATTGCAACCCTGTGCTTTTTTCCTACACCTGCAGTGATGGGGAAGGTTATAGATAGAAGTTTGGCTGTCGGAAGTCCCCTGCTGCTGGGGACACTGAGGGTTCCCTAGAAGCTGCAAACTCCACAACTGGCAGCAGCTTTGTGGGATGTCATTGTTGGGGCTGCTTCCCTAGCACACCGCCACATTAAAGAAATCTTAGTTTCTCATTCAGTCCGCTGATGCGGTTTTAGTGCTTTTACATTTGCATTCATTTTAGTAGGGCACAAGCTAAAAGTAGGCTCAGCTGAGCAGCGGCTTTTTGTGGCTGTGTAAATATATTGCAACCAGCAATATCAATATACGTCAGCTAGCTTTGGAGGACTTTTTTTTTTTTTTCCAAGCTCCAAGACTGCTCCAAACAGTCATTAAGTAGAAGGGAAAAAAAAGGACAAGAGGTCAAGCAGGAACAGGATGTTCATTGTAAAGGTTGTAGGCTGACCCCACTGTCACACCAGAAATCTCTGAACAGAATCCATATTTATGCCCTCCAGAGTCAGATCCTCTTGTAGCTTTGATATAATTGATGGTTTTATGAGCCTTTTGCCAATCCTACGTTCAGAGCTGAATGTCTGCTCATGCCATTAAGTAGCTGGCCCAGAGTGAGGGTCGCTGCAAAGGTAGGGGGAGTGGTTTTGGAGAGCCTTCTTAGCTGTTCCTGCAGTGCGGTTGGAAAGCCGTCTTGTGTTTTCCCCTGATGTCAGACTGCATAAAAGCCCTCTTTTGATTTAACATTGAAAAGGCTTTCCCCACTTCCTCTTCATTGACAAGGTAGTGAGATCATAGCTGGCCCATTCACACTAGAAAAATGTTCATCCAGAAAGGTCAGCAAGTGGGTTTGCATCATCCAACAGGCGAAAGCAAAGGGTGTTTTCTTTGTCTTACTGAGGGCTGCTGTAGTCAAGGTTAAGAGACGGCCGTGGCCGTGTGGGAGGAGCAGCGGAGGTGCTTGTCTTGGGGCATTCTGTTCCTGGGACATGATTCAAAGGCTGCAGGGTTCGGGGGTGTCCTTACTTTGCCTTCACTGAGCTTTGGTCAGGAAAGTACTGTTAATGGGCTTGTGGAATTGGAGCTGTAGGAAGGCTCCAAACTAGGGGTGATGGTGGAACGGCTTCCCCAAAATGGGTCCTCTAAGGGTTCCCTTTCATGGGGTGAGTTAGTAAAAGGTAGGTGTGCCCTGCACCATGACAGAGTGAGCCCATGAGAACACAGCCCCCTGGTCCTAAAGCCATCTCTATTCAGCAAGCTGTACCTGTACAGCCCTGCAAAAATCAGACCGAAATAAAGAGGCTGGTTGGGAGTTGCTCTTTGATAGGAAGGAAAGAATTGCATTTCTCTCCCAATAGAGTAATGGTGACAAGGATTGGTGAGTTAGGGGTGTTGGTGTCTGTTACAGACATATTTCCTCCCCTGTCTGCAAAAGCATTTCGGTAACATCTGCAGATTCTGTTGTTTCTCCACAGCAAGATCAAGTATTTACCAAGTACCAGACCATAATTTATTTGGGGGGTTTCTGAACTGAGTCTTCCCAAGAGGTTTTTCATAATGTTGATCATGATGTTCTTAGTGTCTTTGGTCACAGCAGCAAAAACCAGTTAATATTATGGAGCAAATCCTGCCTATACCGCTTATTTTGAATAGCCAAGCTGAGTATTATTGGTTGTTTGCAGCAGTGCTCATTTCCAAATTAAGAAACGAGCTAATTCACTCCATCTACCTCAGCTTTGCCTTCTGCTTGGACTTCAGCCATAGCCATACGAGCTTCAGCCATTTCTGAATATTCAAGGTTGAGCTGATTCGGGGAAATTGAACGTAGTATATTCTTACAGTAAATTAGTATGAGGGAAGGACAGAGAGAAAAGAAGCTGGAAAGGAGGGAATTCAGGAGCAGCTCCTCAGTTGTCATCTGGGAGTTGTGCAGAGAGGTTTCAAAGAGACGGAAAAAAATGCAGGAATTCAGAACGAGTTGTTCAGCTGAGCTACCCAGCCTCTGGAGAGGTTAAAAAGGCCTTGCAGAACAAATTGAGTGTGTAGGTAAAATGGCCGTATGTAGTGTTTGCAGGTTTAAGAACGTTTTTCTTCAGTGACCGTTTCTATGATTAGGACAAACAGCACTTCGATTTTAGCTGTGGCTCAGCTGGAGATTACTGCCAGCACTTGGTGGGACCTGCAGGCAGGACCAGCGGACAGGTTATCAAAGCTCAGTTTAAGGATGGGAGAAACAAGGGAAACACCGACACAGGCGGAGACAGAAAACCAGAGAGGTGCCCTCAGCGCCTGAGAGGAACCCTGCCACCCCCAGTCCCCTGGCAGAGGGCAAGGTCTGGCTGCTCCCGCTCAGGGAGAGAGGACGTAGAGACCCCACATCGGCCATTCCCCTCCCGCGACGAGCTTGCTGCGGCACCCTCCGGTTCTGCCGCCGGACCCTTCCTCCCGCCGTGCCCTCGCTGAGGCACCTCCAAACCGCCCTCTGAGGCGGCTCCCGCCGCCGCTTCACCCTCCTGCCCCTCCCCCGGCGCCTTCCCAGCCTGCCCCGCGGCCGCCTCGGCTTCCCGCGCCGCGGGGACTGCGTTTCCCAGCCTGCCCCGCTGCCGGCAGAGGGCTTCCCGCCGCCGCCCCCCCACCCGGGGCTGTGACAGGGCTTCCCGCCGCCCCGGGGCCTGGCAGGGCCGCAGTTCCCCACCCCGGGGCTGTGAGAGGGCTTCTGCCTGAGCCGGGCGCTGACAAGGCAGTGCACCCCTGGGCCTCGCTTCCCTGTAGGCAAAGCTCTCCGTACCCCACACCCTAAATAACTGGGAACAGGCTTTTCTGAGGTAGGGATTTTGCCAGAGGAGTGCCCTGTAAGTGTCTTTAATGGGTGTTTTAGGATGGGTGGCTGCCAGGCTCTGAGGTGGCTGGCCTCCCTGCTGCTTCCCATGCTGCCTGCGCTGCCGAGGCATGCACAGCTGGCGCGGTTGTGTCCTGGAAGGCATCGCGCCAGTCCTGCCGTCCTGTCCCTGGAGCGGTGGCTCCAGTCCTGCGAAACGCTTGGTGACTTGCCAGGCCCCGCGGGATCCCCGGTCCCTGCTCAGTCGTTGTGGTGCCTTTATGCCCTGTTGACTTCCTTGCAGACCTGAGGGCTGCAAAGATCACAGTTGCAAGGTGAAGGCAGGTTTTCCCTCCATCTTACCAGCACACGTTTATTTTAAGATGGAAGAAGCAGAAGATTCCAAAAAGCATCTTCATTCAATTGCTTTTTGGTTTTATTTCCCGTCCTGTATTTACCTATCAGCCACATGAGTTTTGCTGTTACGAGGAATTTTCTGCACTGCGACTTCTTTTGCAAGTTCCTGCCCGCGATAAATTTTGGCTTTGTGCTAGTGGTGTTTTTGTCACTTCTGGTTACAGTCTTGTTTTTTTCCTGCTATTACTCCCTGATTTCATCTATGCTGGAGATGCTCTAGAAGAGGTGTTCCCATGATGTTTCTGTTAGGCCATATATTTTTATCAGATTCTATTTTCATTTTTACTTAGCCACCACACCATACCGCAGGATAGTAACTAGAGTCTACGGTGATGCAAGTGTGGTGCCAGCAATTTATTATACACCATTTAACTAAGCTAGTCAGTTATTTCACTGTCTTTCTCTTACAGAGCTTTTATATAGTGATATTTTGTGGTTTTGGAGGATTTGAGGATTTTTAGTTTTGTTGCGTTAGGGACAAGCAAAAGAAGCTAATCTTGGTTTGTTGAGGAGTGACCGTCTCAAAGCATTTGGCACTTGAGAATAACTGTACGAGATAAACACCAGGGAGAAAAATACAAAGAAGAAAAAAGATGCTAACACAAGGCCAAATCCCATGATGTTAGCATAGGTATCTCTGTTTATACCCACTGAAAATCAGAACTGCAACCTTCAACATTTTAGATTAGCATCCTGTGGGCCAGCAGGTGTTTGTTAATAGATGACACAAGCACAGCAATTTATCTGGTTTGTGCTGCTTCAGTTTGAATATATGCAACATCTTACAAAATGACATTCCTTTAGCTTGCGTAGCATGAAGTAGGGCAGTGGAACGTATGCTGGATTGTATCTTAACTACAGTACAGTAAAAAACAGCTTTAAATTGCTGCATAAATTCATTATGATCCTATTCAAAGTATTATCTTTTTCAGTTTTTTTTTTATGTTGTTTAATACCAAATAGCCACAGGAACTGCATATATCTTTCAGCTTGGAAAACCAAGCAAAACAAGGACAGACTTTAAAAAGCTTGATTACAGTTTATTTTTGTTGCATGTAATTTTCAATAAGACTGGTTTATTCTAACAGCTGTAATAAGCATGGCAGATCTGAAAGCTGTTTCATGATTGCTTGGTCTCTTTCTTTGTCTCTGATGATGGAGGTGTCTTAATTACTGTTTGTTTTTGTAAATTTTAAGGATTAGTCATCCTTTGATGCCAGATGACTCAGTTGTACCATACATTTTCAAATCTTTGCATTCAAAGGCTTGATGGAGTTGGGTTCTGATAGGAGATTTTGAAACATACTGCTTTGACCCATAGCTGGTCTTTCAGCAAAAGCATTCTTGTATGTCATGGCCAGCTCTTAATCTGTTTATAAGGAGATCTGACAGTTTTGGAACATACCTTTTAATGTGGACACTTTAGTTACTGCATCTGTCTCTCTGCAACTTTTGTTTGCTGGGTAAATGAAAATTGTCTCCAGATCCTGTTGACACAAGAGGCGGTGACTAAAATGTGGATCTGAACTCCTTGCTCCATGAAAGCTATGGCAGATTTCCCACTGACTTTTAGTAAGGCCAGGATTTTGCTCTAGCTTCTGTTACTGTCATTCGGAGGTCCTTGGTAGTTTGTGTCCACAGAGCCACAAGAGTGTTTCTGGGAACTTGGGAATGTGATGTTTTTTTCCAGCCACCACTCTCATTTTGTGACACTGTTCCAGTTTTGGGAGCGCCAGGGAATGATTTTCATAGTGTGAAGATTGATGTGGGGTATTAAATCCCTACCAAACACACAAGTAAACCATTACCAGGAGAGTCTAGTGTAATTGTGGATGCTTTATTTGATACTAACTGGAGCTTTTGGTTGGATCAGACTTAATGGCTTTGTCCTGTAACTTTTGTAGAGACAACCAGCCTCTCTTGTCCTTCTGCTCCCTCATCTATCTTATTTATAATGCATACCTGTACTATGTAGTCTTCTTGTTTGCTGGGACAGCCACATTGCAGCCCCCTTTTGTCAGATGTTAGATAAATCATCAGTAGGACTGAGAAGCCATGATTTCATTTCAGTGATTTTAATTTCAAGCAAATGATTATCACCTATTCATGCAGTGTTTAACACAATTGTAAGCTAAACATTGGACCCCTTACACACTGTCTAGCACTCTCTTTGCCCACATTATGCCGTATTCCCTTGCACGGCCATGACCATCATGCCCGTTACACTTAGTGCAAGTTGGCACCCAGCATCCCATAACCCATTTCAGTGCCCCAGCACAGCAGTGTTCTTGCCCCCTGCGCTGTTCCTCCTCTCCTGGCTGCCGGCACCAAGTTGGTCAGGATGTCCTCACGTTCGGTATCCTCCCCACCCCAACATCCTTCTCTTCTGCATTGGTTTCCTTCAGATGAGAGACCTGCATGTAGCCAGAGCTTCTCCAGCATGCTGCTTCCTCCGACTTCACCTTCCCTCCAGACTTTTTTTTTTAAGGATACCAGTGCGTTGGCCCAAAGTGGAGCAGTGCAGTTGGAAGCAGTTGGATGGACTGTAGAGAAATAGCATACCTGCCAGCTATCCACAATAAAGCCAAAGGCTGGATCCAGTTTGCGAGTGGTAGTTCCCTTGGACCTAAAAACAGTGCATGGGAGCTCTTGTAAACAAGTCCCAGGTCATTGCAAGAAGTGAGCAGGATTGAGATTGCTGCTTTCTCAGCTGTTATTCAGATCCTGGTTCTGTATTATTGAGGACACTACGTTCAGAGGGGTCTGGAGACACCAATTTGTAAATTATAAAACGTATTACAAACCAACTTAATGCCTTCACTGTTAGCCTTCGGCGTAAGAACAGTGGTCAACATGTACAGAAGATCAGGCTAAAAGTGGCAGTCTACAAGAACAACCACTGACTGGAATCTGTATAGAAGCTTATTGTGATATATGTGAAAGCTGAGCTGCTTACAACTTCAAACCAAAATGAATGGGAAATTGTTTTATCTCTTGGGGGAAAAGAAAGTTGTTTCAAACTGCTGAACTTGAATAAACAAATAGTCTGTGCAATAAATAGTAACACGATGCACAATTAAGATAAAAGATGATTAAAAGCTAACATTTTATATGGGTTTGGCTACATTAAAAAATAGAGGTATTTAGTTACCTGTCTTCAGTTCTGAACTATAACTATGTCAATGTGTCTCAGTACATACCTCATCGTATTTTATAGGTGGCAAAAGTGGAATATGTTAGAAAAAAGCCAAAATTAAAAGAAGTTCTGGTGAGATTAGAAGAGCATATGGAATGCACCTGTACATCATCAAATACTAATTCAGATTATAGAGAAGAAGAAACTGGTATGTTTTCCTTTTATTTTTGCATTTATGCTGATTTCATATGGACCTTATTTTTATATTAGTAAAGAATGTAAAGCAAACTTTGCTTCCAGTGAACTCAGTAGAGAAGCTCCCAGCTACTTCTCTGTGTGTTGAAGATGCAAAATTAGGGATAGTTTGTGCTGTATAAAGAGTTTGGATTTGAACTTTAAAGTGTATCAATTCTCATTAAGTTAGCCTTTAAATAAATGTAAATGCCCAGTAGTATTCAGGTCTTGCTTAACTAAGTTAAAGGTTGTCATGTTGCAGCTTATTGGTGAGCTCTCTTGCCTAATTTCTTTAGACTTTGTGGAGACAGGGCTAAGGCTGAGATTTACTTGACCTTGGGGAAAATATTAATGAAATGAACGTAAAGCACTTAGGAATAAGTTCAATATTCAAGAGTAAGGAGTTTTGAAACAACATTGCCTGTTCCTGTTGTTTTCTTACTTACATATAGTCAAAGCATTTATTGTCAGTTGTCACATTAAACCTAAGTTTGCCTTACCAAGACAACATTGAAGTTACCATGGGGAAAGATTTATGGGGAAAAGTATTTACTTTAAATCTGACTTTCATAAAACCACCTAAAATCATTAGCTCAGATCCTCATACTAGGGTGCAATCAATGCAGAACTTGACACTTATTCAGGAAACCCACTACAGTAGAAAGGACACCTCCCTTTCTCCTGATTTTGGTTGAAGGAAGCCTCAAAAGTTTGTTTTGCACCTCTGCTGGGAATTTAAGGGTGCACTAGACCCAGCCCAAAATTAGAGTCAATGAAAAGCAGGTAAATATAGGAGGAAAGCTGCCCAAAGGTGATGGATTTCGTAGGTGGCTGGGTAAGGAAGGGTTTTCTGCACTGTCTCCATCCAGCATGGAGACATAAATCTGGTGTAAGCAAATGTAAACTTCAGTTGCTATGTACAGAGCAGAAGTAGGATTTATATAAAAGAAAAGTTAGGCCTCTGCTGTGATTTTATTGGACATCAATTTATAATCTGAGCTGAGTGTTTTAGATGAAACTAGGTTGAGTTATGAGTAGACAAAACCACATTGAAAATGGTTATTTTTATGTGTGTATGGCTTGATATTTTTTCTATGTCTTCTATTTGGAAAAAAGTTTCATTAGATCAATTCCAGTTTTCCAAAAAGTCTTTAATTGCCAAAGACTAAGCAGTTAAGATTTTAAGATGAAAACCTTTCTTTTTGAAGTGTGTGAAAAATGGGGTAGAATTGTCATGGAAGAGTATAGATTTCTAGGATTTAATTACTGATAGGAACAAAACTTGCACCAGCGAGTGGATGGTGAGCTGAAAATAGCTTGACTACAGAGCTGAAAGCAAATGTTGAATACTGCATGGTAACAGTAATTATAGATGGATCTTGGAAATGACGTGTGTAATGCCAACTTCGTTTATTATTTCTTTGCTTTTGTATAATTACTTTGTAAATGGAATGTCAAATCAGACGTTATAAAGTTATTACTTTAATGCAAAGGACAATGAGATTTCTTTTGAAATGTAAATGGTTTGAGTATTTATTACTTCAGTGTTCAACAAAATGCATTACCTTAGGGCTTTTTACCAGCCCTGCCCTTATGTTAACAGGAAGGCCTAGGGAATCAGGTAAAAAACGGAAACGAAAAAAGTTAAAACCAACATAAAACCTACTGGAACTATTTGATATTCAGGTAGGACCTATATGCTGAACACCCTAATAGCACAAGTATGGAAAACTTAATCAAATATCATCACTTCAACTTAATCACTGTTCAAAATCTTGACACTTGCTACCTCAAAGCTGCAAAGAGATTAGATTTGATTGGCTTTGATAATTCTACCTGCTGGTATTTTTCCTTTAAGCTCCACATCACCATCAGCATCTTACATTCTTGAGCTACTTCCTTTTCTTGCCTTTTTTATTTCTTTTGTTTTTGGAGGGTGCTAATACTTCAGCTTCTGAAATCTCAAGTTCCATTGCCTCTGCTTTTGTTTCATTATTATTGATTTCTGAGGTCAAAGCATCACATAATAATGCATGAATGAATTGCCAGGTTACAAATTGTCATGTTCCCAGTCATTGGCTGTAAAACATTGAGTGTACATACAGCAAATACTATTGTATGCATGACCATCAAACCCATGTTTTGGCATGAACTGGGATTGATTGTACATGCACCTGAGATGGTCTGATGATCTGCCTACCTGACAAGGAGGATGCTTAGAAATACCATTTTTTGTGTTGCAGGGCCCTGTGTTACTTACACCAGAAAATTAAGATCTCTTTTTTCATCTGTTCAGTCTCAGTAGGATGTTGACAATCAGTCATTGAAATTCATGAGGTTTTCAGTGTAGTGAAAAACTTAACACCCTCTCAATGCAAAAATGACTGAAATCCTTTGGCCAACATATTAGCAATGTATGATGATGGCGATACACATTCCAACTTAAATATGGAATTTCCATTTCTTAATGACTTGAAACAATGTAAAGTGCAGCACTTGCAATTGATTCTAGTATTTGGAGTGGGAATGATTTGGATTTTGCAGTGTATGTGCCTAACACCTGGATGGTGGTGAATTTAATTTCAAGCACCTATTTTTTGCACATAAACTCCCAATGGCAGTTTTCATGTATACTGATGTATCGTTTCTAAAGAATGCTAAACTTGATATCCTGTTTCAGATTAACAGGTATTTATTGGGAGTAGTATGATAGAAGCAAAGATTTTCTAAAATTCAACTTTAAAAGTGAGCATGTAAACTCAATCAAAACAGCATTTAGAACTTCTTGTCCCAGGTTAGTGACTCTTCATGCAGAACAGTTTTTTTTTTTTAAGTCATCTACTTAGAGGATAGGACCTTTGATTCTAATCATAGAGTTATTGTATCTTTTTTCTCTCCTGCAGATGTAAGGTGAAAATAAGCTAGAAAAAAAACTTCTCTCTGGGACATGGATGTACATGGTTTGTTACATTCCTGAACCTACTATGTATGGTGCTTATTGACTGTATACTTTATTTGTTCTCCTGTGTGAAAAAACTGGCTCAAAAGAACACTTAATGAGAACAAAGAGACAATGTACATTTGTTTAATGTGACATCAAAGCAAGTATTGTAGCACTCTGTGAAACAATAGGAAGCTTCCCTGTCCAAAAAAGAAAAAAAAAAGAAAGAAAGAAAAACAGAAAAGAAAAAAAAGACAGTTGAATGAATGGAGGATACCAAAAGTACTCAAAAACATGACAAAAATCTAAGTGAATAGTGGATTTCTGTCAGAGCAGTCAACGGTGCTTTACGTCAAGAAATGTGCCTGCGTTCTTGATGAAGATGGATGGACACTGGTGGACTTCAGGCACAAAAAAAGCAGGAATGTATGAAATGATCAAATGCCACGCAAACACTATAGAACAATACATCCTTGCTTGGTGGTGTTTTAAAAGTCTATACAAAAAAACCTTCTGGGGAGCCTTAAGTGGATTTTTTTTTTTTACACCATAAAGTGATTATTAAGTTTTCTTTTTACTCTTTGCCTAGCTTTTTATTATCTCTTGGACTACATTTGCCAATAACACATATAAAAGACTGGTATAACAATAAGCAGAACACAAAACATTACGGTATTTCTCCTAGTGGGATGCAAACTAATGAGATGTATTAAAATAAAAATGGTATACCTATGCATAATTTTCTAGACGTTTCTTGGTTTATGTTCCCCAACCTCCCCCGTAATTTAAAGCATTACATAAAAAGAAAAAAAAGAGAAAAAAAGAGAGATGTGCGTAAACAAATCATAGGATATCCATGCAAAAATCCTTTTTTTTCCTTTAAGAATTATGCCAGTTGCCTACTAGTGATATTGTGTTAGCAATTGTCATTCTTATCAGTATACAGATACTTTTATTTCACATGTTGGAGCTGTGTGAAATGTACAAATTCTTGTATCTGCATTGTACAATGTCATGGTGGCATGGGAACTACCTTGCTGCAAATATTTGAACAAAACCTAAAATTCTTTATTTTTGGTAAAATGTTATGCTTTATGTGTATTCAACAGAAATATGTGTTTTTGTAAAGGTGAAGTTTGTATTTTTATCTAAAAATTAACAGTTTTATATACCTGAGAAAGCCTGCTATGTTTTCTTGAACCAAAAAAAAAAAAAGAAAAAAGAAAAAAAAAGCATTTTGTGGTCATATTTTTGTAGTAGAATAGCCCAAATAACATCAAAATCTATTTTAACTATAGCAGGGCAGATAAAATAGTCTGGCACCAGCTCCTATGTTTTCAAAGTGCCAAAGGATTAAATGTTCAGTTCCCCATGGATTGCAGTGGGAGCCACATGGCTGAATCCTTCTGTACTGCTTTGGAAATGTAGGGCTGTGCCAGATATGACATGGCTACTCATTTGGCCAAAATCACTGCCCCACCCCAGTAGTTTGGATTATGTACCCTTTGTTTTATTTGGATTATCACATTGGATATGTAAAATGAACTACTGGATTCTTTTATTTGTGAAACATCTACAGAGAGATGAAAGAGTTTTCTTAGTTTGGAACACAAAAAAGTTTGTCTTGAAGACAGTGTTTCCACTCAAATAAAAAATATCTTCAAATGTGAATGAACTGCAGAACCTTAAAACAACAGAAGAGAGAGAGATTTTTAACTTCTCAGTTTCTTTAAATATAGTTCAAACATTCCCCTCCTGTTCCTGTAGCTATGTCCAGTTTCAACCAAACAAAGCAATGTTAGCTAACAGGCATTATTGGCTTCAGATGCTAATGCAGAGATAGAGTTAGTCACCGTTCTATTTTGTGATCATTTTCCCAGTGTATTTGTTGAGCACCAAAACTGGAAATACATTTAACTAAGATTGTCTGTGCTTGTTTTCCACTAAGTGTACTGTTCACAATGTTATGCACATGAATGTATGTGTCTGCGTTTAAAAAAGTGTATAAAATGTAATTTATATATTTATGTTTCAGTGGGATGCCAATAATGTTGCTCCGTTCCTTTTTTGTCTAAAAGATATCTAATGAAAAAAACCCATATATCCATTAAAATCATGTAGATGAAAAGCATTATGTGACCCACTCAGACACTGTGCAGGTATGAAAGGATGTCAGAAGTCACTTAAGTGGAATAATTTGCAAAAACAACTTTTTGAGAGTCCTGTGGTTGCACTGGCATAAGAAGGTTGCATTCAGATCTGTGGGCCAGCTTCCCTGGAGTAACTCCATTGAATATAATGGAGCTCTGCTGATTTACATCACGAGAGAATCTGGCCCTACAGTAGTCTTGGAAAAAAAAAAGCAAACTGAGAGGCATGCATTTTATTGGTGCCAGCAAATAAATGTTTTATGCCAAATTCAGAAAACCAGGAGAGAATGAAGACTGAGTGGAGTCTTTTCCAGTAGTCGTTTGTTTGAGACTTGTGGTCTCGAGTTAATTTGTTACCAGGAATGAAACACATGTGAGTCTTTGTTCTCAAGCACAGTGTTTATATGGCATGCAGCAGCAAACGCAAAAATCTCAGGGCTATATTCTCAGCTAGTATAAATTGGCAAACGTTTTTGACTTCAGCCGCCCCTAAGCTAATTTACATCAGATGAGGATCCAGTCCACGGTTTTTACGATATGAGGAGTAGTGTCACGGTGTGAGCGTCACTTACTGTAGTCCAGCTGAGATACTACCCGCCAGCCTTTCGAACATTACAGGCTATAGTGTTAGTCCTTCTTCTTCAAAGTGGCAGATACAACCAGAAGGAACAGTAACATTAAAGGTTGTGACACAGGAGACATTAATTCAAAGTTAAGTTGGACATTTCAAGGGCCATATCCTCAGCTGGTGTAAATCACCATCACTCCATTGCATGCAATGGAGCTGTACCAGCTTACACCACTTGAGGGGCTGGTCCCTCATTCTTGCTCATCCCTTCCACTACTCGGTCCTGCAGGGATCTCAGATTGTCGTGTACGGTTAATGTAATCCTGTGTTCTCTAATACTTAAGCACAATAAGTGAATATAAGAATGAGTGTCAGACTTAACTTTGAATGTCCAAGCTCTGAAATGGTTTGTTTCACCATTGTGGCTGTAAATTAAACAGTTCTCTGTGCATTTGTGAATGCTGTGTCATATCTTCTTCCACTGTCTACTGGAGGTGGTGGACTCCATCTGGACTTTTAAAGTGCTGCATTTGGAGTGTTACAGGGAAGGGTGTGAGCATTTGGAGCTGCAAGATATCTGATTGACAGCTCTTTTATTTGTGGGGTGGGGGTCTAGTATGGGGGCTTAATGAAGGAGTTGAAGATGATAGTTGTAAGTCACGTTTCCATGCAATCCTTTTAACACCTTGTCGTTTTTGTCCTTGCACATAGTAGGTAGATATTTGGGGATAAAACGTTTTTCTGTTTTACGTTCTGCAGTCACTTCCTCTGTCCAGAGATTCAGAAGTTGTTGGTCTGATTTAATCTTTTTTGAGATCTTTTCTGGTCAGAAAGTGTATATGTAGGGGACTGCCTGAAAACAATCTCAGTGTTATAATATGGTGCACGATCACTGGTTCTCTAGTCAATTCATTACATCTAATTCTGTGCTTCATCTTTCCAGAGCTGCCCTTCAGTTGCTTTTGTTGAGTGAAATCAAGGATTACGTGCCAGTTTGCTTTCCTTTTCTCCTGTCCTCCGTCCTGCTTGGCATCTGCTTTATTAGACAGTGCGTGGTGACTACAGGCAGTTGCTCCTCTCCAGCCCTGGAGGTTCCTGGGCAGCTCCAGCACTTCCGTGTCTTTGAGCTTAGGCTTTTAACTCTGCTTGGACAGCATCTCATGGGTCTCCTCCCTCCAGCGGGCTTCAGCATTCCGGCTATGAGGTTCTCTTGGCTGTCCTCCTCGGTTCCCTGTTGCATTGCTGTGGTCTACTTTCCAGCTGTTCTCTGCCTGACTTTCCCATCCCTCTGTTTCTGTCTCTCAAAAATGATTTTCCCTTCCTAGGATCTGTCTCATCATATATCTCTTCTCTCTCCTCCTGCCTGACAGAACAACCTTTTTATCTCCAAATCAGTTGCTTTATCTAGGCATGTGCCCCGAGATCCTGTCTCCCAGACATACAGGCCCATAACTGACCCCCAGAGGAAAGACAAATGCTGTTATATAGACAGGTGTTTGTGGAGAGAAAAGGATTCATCTTTGCATTTGGAAAAATACTCATTACTGAAGGCTCCCTGCTAAAGCTCTGTCCAATTCCAGCAACAGTGTAACTCTGGAACAGCGGCACTGAAGCTATTCCAGACATCTGACAGTTCATTTAAGATCAGTGGCCCCATTTATAATTTAATTTGAAAGTGTACCCAAAAGCAAAGATGAAGTTTCAAAGCTACCTCAGATTTGCATGCTCATATTTTACTGTAAATTGAAAGAAATCATGTTCGTAGGCCCCTTCCATGGCTTCGAAAATCTTACTCAATATCTATCTGGCCCTCTTTTGGGCTGGAAATCATGGTTGCTTTAAAACAGAAACAATGTGGAGGTTTTCAATGAAGTAATTTTCTTGGTGTTTCTTAATAACACAGCTTCTAGTACTAGCAGATCTCAGAAACAGAGTCAGATAAAAATTGTTTAAACTCGTAAGAATCCCACTTAAGTTTGCTTTAATTTCAGGTAACAGAGAAAAGCCTATCAGTGTTGCCTTCCTCAAAAATCAGCCTATGTTTTGTATTTATTATTCCATTTAATTGCTGTGTATTTTCCCACATTTTAATAGCAAGGTATTATTCCATGTCTGAGCTTTTCTGTGCCACTCTTTGCTGTAGCATCTCTGCGGCACAGCCTTGAACTGGTTTGTGCTCATATCTCCTCTGAAATAAAGAACTATTGTTATCCCATTTTAGGCGAGACCGAGGCATGGAGAAATGACTGTGCAAGGTCACACAGCAAGGCTATGGCAGAACCAGGGATAGGACTCAGATCTGAGTGCTCATCCAGTGCCCTAAATCACACGACCATCTTCCCTTTCCAAGAATGAATCCTTGCACCCTTAGAGCTAAATACTGAAAAGATTGAGGGTAAGTCATTTTGCCTAATTATTGTGCATCGGATACATGATCAAAAACCACTGCGATATCATCAGAGAATGTAGTGACTGATGAAAATCCAGCTTTCTGCCCATGCAATTATGCAGCCTTTTATGCTATCATGAACTAGTCATTTCCTGCATCTCTAAGGAGTCAACCTTTTGTGACTTACAGTGAAAATTATCCACATAGAACAAATCAAGACTCAGATTTTATGGGAATTTACAAAAATTCAGTAGACAATTTTCATTGTACGTCCCTTCAGTTCTGTGTCATTCACTCCTTTTATGGTGTGGGTAACATTTCCTAAGGGAACTGTTTTTACCATGGGCCCAATCCTGATTCTTTTTCCCAGGCCCTAACGTGGAAAAGCACTTTAAGAGGTGCCTGTGTTTGCCCTTCTTCAAACCAGTGCCTAAGCATGCTTGTAACTTCGGACAAACATCCCATTGACCTCAGGCAAATGGAACAGAGTTGATGCTTTATTACTCTTCTTGAGTAGGGTGTGCCTTCCTGACACTGGATCCCAGTTGTGGGATGGGGGGTCTTCGTGCTCTTAGAGTACTGAAGTATGTTGTAAGCAACCCCAAAGATGAAGTAACAAGGCTAGAATATACAACTAGAAAAACAGCTGGGAGAATTCCTCTCTCTTCTACTCCCATGGAGGTTGCCATTTTGAAATACATGTTTGTTCTTTTTTGGGAAAGTACTTCCCTGGCGTGGGTGGATTCAGGACTGCAATTACTAGTGCTAGTGAGCCTATTTAAGATTATCTGTTTGGATACCTCAGAGAATATAATTTGAAAACTCAGAGTCATACCCGTAACACACAAATTTGAGATGGGAAAAAATACTGAGAACAAATTTCCTGTGAAATTTGGCAACTTTTAGTTTAGGGGAAAAAAAAAGTAATTAGAAGATAAAATGGAAAAGATCAAAAGCTTGATCATTAATTTTTCAGTTGTGGAATGTTACCTGTCCCTTTAGTCATTCTAATTATTTGCTGTATCAGGCTAAATTATGTGCTGAAGTAGCTCAGAATTACTACAACATGTAAAAAGTTATGGCTGCTTCTCACTGAACTGCTACCTATTATCATGGCATATGACTGTGAGGTGGGGCCTGCAATCACAGTTGTAAATCAAAGAACAAGTCATAGGTTAGGTACTGTTTTCCTTAGATATTGTCTCTAAGTTTGTTTTCTGTATGCTAGTATCTTGAGCGACGTTTGGTGAGCTTTTCAGTTAGGTGTAAAGTCAAGAATACGTAGTTCCCAACCTGAAACTAAGGACGTGCTAACTCTTAGTCTCGTTCATAATCAATACATGAAATTCTGGCGACGTCCTGGTGATAGAATTTCTGTCACTGAAGGTTTCAGTGTCACATTCTTCCAGTGTTCCTTCTTCCCCTAGAGGGGAATCCAGTCATTATTGTATTTGACTCATTAGCAGGCCATCAAATCTGACTTGGTTTGAGGTTTTAGCATCTAAAAATTTCTGTTGGGGCCGATACTTGGGCATACCAAATGTCTTCCACGATCTTAGATAAAAATGCACAAAGAAAGGCTGACTTGTGTGCTTCAACAGAAAAGAAATCCACATACGAAGGCTGGAGTAGTCCCTCAAACAGGGAAATAAGGAGCCAAGTTTCTAACAAGTGTTGCACACTCATCTTCCCAAGATCAGACGTGGTGTTTTGGCCTTTACGTACTATCTTTCATCTTGCATAATGCAGGCAACTGGTTTTACTGTCCATCTTTGAAATTGAGAGTAGCTGTTAAGATCAGGTATGCAAAAACCAGAAGCACCCAGAGATGCAGTTGAGCCCATAGCACTTGAAATCCCCTGGGGATTTTGAAAATATCTTGATTCTTGAAAGCAATCACAGATAAGTAGAAGAAAAGCATTTTTAAACACTTCTGAAAATCCCACCCTGGTGTATTTGGCAGGTGAAAAAAGAATCCAGGAAGTATAATACATATATTGATCATTCACTGACAAAGTAGATGTTCGTAGAAAATGCTCATGCTTAAATCTTTCAGCAGTTAATGATGATCTTTACAGTCCATAATACTTGAATACTTCACTTATCGATACATCAGGGCTTGGATGAACTTTGAGACTTATGAAAATGGGACACTCCTTAGGCCAATGGTAGCTCTATGTTCCAGTAACTGATCAACCAATTACATAATTGGCCAGATCACTAACTTGCATAAATAGATGCAACTGCATTGACTTCACTGGAGATGACAGTTACCTGAGAATTGACCCGAAACTCTTGCCACAAAGCAGATAATGATTTCATATTTTGCTGTTTAGTGTTGTTGTAAAAATAGACTCATTTCCTGGAGCAGTTAAAACAAGAAAATCTGGAAAAGCAATTTCCCACAGAGACTCATCCACACTGGAATTTGCCGAGGTCCCCGGATGTGAACATGTGCTGTTAGAAAACATAAAACAGCAACTTTGTTTAGGGAAGCCTCTGACCTGTCAAAAATGCAGAGCATTTGTTACCAGACTTTTCCTTGGCAATTAGTGGGTAGAATAACTCATAGAAATTGTTTTGTTTGCTTACAAGGGGCGAAGCAAGACATAAATTCAAGATATCCCCTGTCTGACCACAAGAAAGAAGACTGTCCACAGAGGGTCTGTGGGTGAAGTGCTGAGCGGCCTCAGCTCCCTTTGGGGATGAACTCAAACTTGTAGACCTCAGTGAAGCATCAAGAGCTCACCAGAATTGCCTGACATCCCAAGCTGTGATTTTTTTCAGTAGTCTAAGCAATTTGGGCATCCAATTTTAATTCATTTTTACAAGACTTTCAGGAAGCCTCAGTTGGCTTCAGAATGCCTCTGTCTTTGTTCCACAGAGACTAATTTTGACCCAGGGATGTCACCATGAGTGTTGCCTTCCTTCTCTGGGTAGCAGCACTCAAACCTTAAGTTTGCTTTCTGCTGTTTGGTGTAGGTGTTTCCCAGCAGTGACTTTTCAAGTGCCTGTTGCATGCCCTGTTTGCTGCTGGGACAGCCTGATCTTTCAGGTGGGGAGTCCGCCTTACTCGATCCATGCTTCACCTTTTCCTTAGCACTTTGGCTTTACATGTCTGTTCTATATAAAGGTGGTGCTGGTTCAAGCTGAAGACCAGGGAAGTTTCGAGAGGTCAGGTTTTCTGCTATGGGCCCTGTTCTGCTGGAGCCTGTTGCCCAGCTGTGTCTGCTGTATGGGGCCAGAGAAGGAGGGAGAGATGCTGCAGCACTTCAGGGAAGCCAAGATAGGTCTTCTCGTGCTCAAACAGTCCTGCCTGAAGACACAGCCTCCCTGGCTGCCACTAAGCACTGCAGTTTCCCCCTTTCCCCCTTGCCTTGAGGGCTGATGTTTCCCTGACGCCAACACGTCCCTCATACAGAGGAAGGTCTCATGCTGCATTGTGTGTGATTGAGAGACGTATCTGCTCGACAGCAAGATTCCCGTGCAGACTGAGGGCTCGGTGCTCATGCACTTGGGAGTGAAGACGTTTCTTGGTCCAAACACACCCACAGTAAAGTAAGATGCTCAGAGGTCTCTTTGGAGCCAGGAAGCTACTCAAAAATGTGTTCAGGATCTGAATTCCCCTTGAATGCAGTGGGTTTCCACAACAAAAATGACAGAAGCAATTTATCCCAGATAGACTGGTTTCTTCAACAGGCCACGTATGAGTCCTGCAGGTTAATGCTCAGCTTGCATACCTTACCGATTGCCACAAATACTGCTTTTAAATTAAATTGTCACTATTTATTGAGGGATATGTTTCTCTTACATGTGCTTCAGAAGAGCTTGTGTAACAGCTTGTATCCATTTGTTGTGCAGAGCCTGCTGGCTGATCCAGAACGGTTAGGCTATGTCTGCATACCTAATAGGGGTTTGGGGACCTTGCAGCTGCAGTTAGCAAGCGCAAATGTTTCCCATTAGCTCCCAGCGTTCCCCTAAGTTGTGATTCAGCAAGACAGTCAGTGGAAGGCTGAACTTGAGGCATGTGAGATGTTTCTTTGAAGTTACTCTTGCTTAAAGTTAGGCATGATCTGAGTTGGCTTGCTAAGCTGAGGCCCTGAAGAGCCTACTGGCTAACGCAGTGTAAGCTTAGTCTTTTCCTCTTATGCATTGCCTGGAGTGATGTTAGTTTCAGAAGCGTTCTGCAGCCTTGCAGTAAACTATTCCATAGTATTGAGGGAAGGCTTTAACTATTCAGTGGCTTTCTACCAGCGAGCTCAGCTACACTAGAAAGCCTATAGCAATGCTTGCCCTCTCTGGGCCTCTAAGGTCTCTTCCTTCCTTATTTTCTTCAGCATGTTTCTTTTCTAAGGCAAGTGAAAAAAAAAATAGTACCTTAAAAAGGTGGGAAATTAAGCAGATCGTATCATCTTGATTCCTTTATCTTCTTAATTAAGGAGAAGTTTGCCAATAGTGATCTGGTATTTCCTAAAACAAGCATACATGAAGAACACTTTGAGAAACTTCAAAAGAATTTTCAGGCTAGATCAGGAAAAGATAAAACCAGAAGTGGAAACTTCTAATACACTTTATAGCCCATTACTTACAGGAAGTACATTGTTGCATAGGATACTAATGAATTCTGCAGGATGAGGTTTGCAAAAGAAAAAAAAAGGCACCTTCTGTATCTTAGAGGAAGAGTCTCAGGGCTTTTGCAGTTACCATAGATAATGCAGTGGATGTGTATGGTCATATCACCAAAAAAGAGTCTACCTCTGGGAAAAGGCTTTTTAAAGTTTCAAGTGTGTACACTATTGAATTTATGTAGCAACTTCCTAGTCTAGCTGCAAAAAGTGATAAAGGGAATGCTAAAAGTTTATCTTGTTTTCAGTTGCCCTGTTCTACACCCTAGAAGGCAGAAATACCGCACTGCATCTTACCTAGCTGCAGGGAGGACAGCAGGAATACATTTGAATGGCTAAGGATGAACACGGTAAAGTCGATGCTGATGTTCTCAATCAGGTAGTGAGGCCAGCAAAGTGAGAATAGCAAAATGGATACTCAGATTTACCAGTGACACTTGTCTGGAGAATTAATATTTGACAGACTCTTAATTAGCTCAATTGAAGAAGTAATCCTAAAATCCTGGTTTTGGACAAGGGCCTGAATCCCAAGCTACTGGATTTGCTGTTAGTGAGTTGGTGCTCTCAGAAGTGTTGTGAAACAGGAATATTTCATATTTGTAAAGCACCCAGAGATCCTACGGATGACAAGTAATAATTTTCTACTGTTTAAAGAGTTCCCTGGTGCAAGCAGGCCCCTCGATGGTGACTAGAGAGCTGAGGGGATGTGCCCCAGGCTCAGCTCATGTTTTCAAGTCCAGACGTGCTGTCCCCAAGTTAGCACCAGCCAGTGTTGGGTGCACGTCTATCACGCGCGGAGTATTGCGCACGTGCCGCTTACCTTGCTGTTCTTCACCACGGGAGATGTGTCCACCTGCCAGCTCTTGTATTTCACTCAGATTGTAAGGATAGCTTTGCTGTATGTATGAACGTACTGTAGGCGGCAAGGCATTCCCATCAAGACCGAAGCACACGGGTAGTGAGGCTTGAACGTTTTTTTCTTATGTACAGGCAAGATACTTAAATATCGGGTTGGTTGCTCTTTGTATCTTTAGGCACCCAGTACTTCTAAACTTGTGGTCTCTGGAAGGCTATGTTACTGAAAATCAAGAGGCGATTGCCCTTCTGAAAGTTTCTACTCACGCTTGAAAGTGAGATTTGGATTCCTAAGTCACAAAGATGCTTTTGCAAATGTTGTATCTGTCTGTCTGCTTCTCTATAAATCAACCTGCTTGGCCTGAACTGAATGTTGAAATAAACAGCTGAAAGACAGTCTGATTGCTTCTTTCTGAGTGTTTCCCTTATGGAGCGCTTGGGGTCACATGGCATCTGCTCTGACCTTAAGGACCTGCTTTCTGGAGGCTTTTTTACGATGCTAACAAACCCCACATTTTAACTAGCTGTTAAATAAGCCAGTCAGTGGTAACTATTCAGGACAGGGATTAGAAGAGTATTCTTACTGGGATACAAGATGGCTCTGTCCATGTGCTGGCCAGGGATGAAGGGCTGGAAAACTGTGTGGTGGAAGAGACGATTAATGTGATTTTCCACAACTTTCCTTGCAGCTGCATTTTTGAGGAGAGAGAGAGAGAGATGGCTAGGCTTGCAGTAACATGTTGTGCCGTCATAAATGCTACAGCCACCATCTGTTTCCAGCCCACGACTTGAAAGAAAACTGAGCAGTAATCTCATAATTCACATGAGCATTTTACACTTGTGAACCCTTCCCAACCTTTGTCTAATAATGAAGGGAGTGCATGGTGCTAAGGTTTGTATTTTTCCTGCACGTATTAGTGTTTATTTGTATGTCTCTTTCTGTTTTGTTGGTTTTTTTTTCCACGGGCCCATGAAAAAAATTTCTCTGGGAGGAAAATCAGACCAGTTCCATGGTCAAAAGAAACATAATAAAGGTAAAATCCCAATTCCATTGAACTTGCTGGCAAAATTCTCCAGGAGGAGGTGCATTTAACATTCCTCGCTGTGTCTGTCTTAGTTACTTGTTGGTTAAAAGAAAGAAAGACATTAGAAAGTGAAGAGGCGGGTTGCTGAACTGCCCTTTCCCTGCAGAAACAGAGCTGCTAGAATAGCTGGACATGCGCATTTTAAACCCGCACCATCAGATAGGATGGTAATGGTAGGTTGGATTTTAATGAAAACAAATTCTTCTGCTAATCTTCGCTTCGGGCTGGCCCTCCTTGGGATTAAGGATACCACCTGCTGTGCCAAAGACTTGCTCAGGTTCGAGGCTGCTGGTGGGTGGGAAGAACACAAACATCTGAGAGTGACTCTGGTGAGCGATTGCAGTCTGTCCTGTTGCGGTGCCCTCAGGGAAGCCAAAGAGTTCAGATGATTTAGTTGATGGAAATACTGCTCCCCTCCAGCCTGCAAAGCAAGGCTAGCATCATTGAGGATTTCTTTTTGACTGTTCTGCAAAACCAAGGGCTGCTGTTTCTCTGGGCCTCCTCTCGTCTTTGGACCCAATTTGCACGCTTCCTCCTAGCACGGCTGAACTGGCTGAATGAACTCCTGCTCTCCTCTGGCCTTAGAAACAATGACTTCATCATCTCGACCAGACTGCAGAGCAGTTTAAGGATGAAAGGGCTTCTCATTTTATATATCCCACTGCTGCTAGAACTATAAATCCTTGATGGACTGAGTTTATAGCAAACTGCTACTGCAAGCAAGTGAAATTGATTTTGTCTTGTCATATGTATGGTCAAACTGTCCAAGCAGTTGCCAACCAACTGAGCTGCTGATGGGCGGCCCATTCAATCTCTTCTCGTTTTATTTAAAAATAATAAATAACTACCAATCAAAGAAACTTATTTTGACATGTGCTACCTGTTGGGTGATCCTCAGTATCTCCAAGATGTGTCCGTAAGTGGAAGAATGCTGCCAGCTGTTGCCAAGTCCAGCAGACATGACAGGAAGTTCCACCAAGAAAAGGTTTGTGGGCTCATTAGGGTTGGGGACATGTTAACGGCCACCTCCTTTTTTAGTACTACTTGCTGTTCTGAATGTGTTTGGTCAGGTAGCAAGGGTGCACAGAGGCCACATCCAACCACGTAGACTCTGCTTGAATCAATGGCAAAGCTTCGTTGACCTGTATGTGGTGGTGGTCCTTTTTCTGTCTTGCAGTTTGATCAAAGATGGATTGTTGTTGGATCTTTGAGGTCTAGAAAGCTGTCCTGTGTCTATTTTGGTGCCTTGTGATGATAGATGAGCTAAAAAGGAGATAGTAGCGACTCTTCAAGCTGATGGAGTCTGAATCACATATATTTCTGTGTCATTTTCTTACAGAGTGAAAAAGCCTGAAAAGTTACCTTATTTTTATTTTGTAGCCAGGCTAATTAATTATAGCTGGGGGTGTTGGGAGCTGTCGTATTAAACAGCCTTTCCCCGCTTACTCCTCTTGTCCTGCCGAATTCTATCTCTGCAGCCTCCCACCCCCGCATCTGTAGTTTATGGTCACATCTGGAGTGTCTGCCCTGCACACGTGCTGGTAGGAGCCTTCTCCCCGCTGGCACACACATCGTGGCCTTTGGTGTCCGTGGAGTCACAAGCATCTTTCCCAACACTTGTTTTTGTGTGAAAAGGAGAGTGAGAGGGGGCACGGGAAGAGCAACGGCAGGGAAGGCCTCTGACATGAAATTCCCAGGAACAGGATTTGCACATTTTATGACCGTTCAGATGGAAATGCAATGGAGCTGAATTACTCCTCCTTAATCCTGCTTTCTCACTTTCCTCCCAGCAGCCTCCTCCCCTCAAGCTTAGGTAATACAGAAGCTTATAAACAAATCCCACCGCGTGAAAAATAGCAAAGGGGGGAAAAAAAAGGACCTGGGTTAGGGCTATGATGGATAGACAGGTGGAAGGCAGGCACCAGAAGGGAGGATGAATGGTAAAAGCCTTTGATGGAAACACTAAAGAGCTATTGAAAATCCAAGGGGTGGGGGGAGGGAGGAGAAAGAATAGCAGGAGGAGGGAAAGCAAGGGAGCCGTGCCCCCCTTCCCCCCCGCCCTCTTTCTCAGGATGTTGAAAGTATTTGTCCTTCGTTACAAAATGATTGAACTGCCGCCAGGCCAGGCCACCCTTCCAGCCATTGCACTGGGAAACTGGCACTTCTGAAAGCCTCGTCGCCTCTCAAATTTTATAGCTTTCCCTTTTTGTGGGAGTTTTTGTGTTGTGCTACTTGCAGGATTGTTTTCAGATTTGTCGCGTATCAAAGAAACTATATTTTGTTGCTCTGACAAACACAGAATCCAGGTAATGAAAGGAAGAATTAAAAAATAAAGGCCCATTTTTATCAGAATACCCAGCTGTCTGCCTTTTATTGAGTCAGAATTTCATGCATTTGGTATTCACGATGTTGCATTAATATTCCTTTGGTTTATCTCTAGCGCTTTTTGAAGGAGGAATTTCATCCTGTAAATAAAGCTTCTATTTTACTGATGTCTCTGTGTGCACAAAAGCAGTGCCTGTTCTTGATAGTCAGAGTAGTGAGGATGATCCTGTTATATCATAATTAAAACGGTTTTTGCATCAGGTGAATGCAGGCAACAGGGAAAAGATAATCTTTCCCCTTTTCAGAATGGTCCCTGAAGTTCTGCAATGTCCTTGTCCTGCAAGACCTACAGATGGGAAGAACTATTGAAGATCTGCATATGAGACTCTTACTGCTGCCGGAGGCCGTATATATATCCTGTATTTGTATGTGTATGTATTTATATAAGCCTGATGCTTGGGAAGGACTGAAGCCGTGTGTATTCTCAAGAATTAGATCTGGGTGTCCGTAGACGCATCCTCCACCCAGGCTCTTGTTAACCAGGGGAGGACCCAGGGCCGTGTTTTCTGCCTGATGCCACTCCTGTGCCGTCGCTGTCAGAGAGGCACATCGCTGTCAGAGCTTGAGCTGCCCCGGCCCGGCGGGGCGAGCAGGGTCCTGGCTGTCCCCCCGGCAGGTACCGGCTCTGCGTGCTTCCGTCGGCTGCATCGCCCTCGACGCAGCCCCAAGGGCGCTCCTCGGAGTAAACAGGGCAGACAGGCAGCTGTCTGGTGCCTCCAAGATTAGATCCTGGGATTAGGGCTCTGACGGGCTGGCCGTGCCGTATAATTAAAATAGGCCTAGGAGAGCAGAGGCAATATGCAACCCGTACGCAGCTGAATAGCACTTTCCACGTAAACATCTCCAGCGCCTGGTTTCGTTCATTAATGTTTGCGGTGCCCCGAGAGAGGTAACACTGCCTTTATCCCCACTTCCAAAAGAAGAGAAAGGGTAAGTGATCTGCTCAAGATTAGATGGGGAGTTACTGGAGATGGTGCTTCGGTCTCCTGCCTTCAAAGGAATTTGCTGCAGTGACCAAAGCAAACAGCCCCTGCTGTTACAAAGCCGGACCGTGGCGTGTCATTCACACTTTGTATCTGAGATGCTGTGTCTGGGAAGGTATCGCTGTCCTTGCAAACTAACTTCTAGTTCTTGAGCGTGGGTGAGCACTTGTCATTGTGCCAGGATGACACAAAGTCTAGAAATTATGATGGCAATTCAGGTCATGGTATAACAGGGGAAAAATGCTGCCTCAGAAGTGTCCCCGTCTAGTGTCACTGCTAGTGATTATTTAAGCTGTAGGACACGGCTGTGGCAAAGATCAGGTCGTAGCTGATATGAATCATGCCTTGAAATAACACTTTCCTTCTTACATTGTGAAAATTGCAGAGGTATGGGAAGTGAGGGAAAATAGGATTTCCCTGGAGGTTAAAGATTTTCCTTTAATCAGCTTTCATAATGTTAATTAAACGTTTGGAACAATGGCTCGGTCCCGGGATCCGCCCGCTCTTGCATAACTATCTCACAATACCATTTTCACTTTCATGTTTATTTGCCAGCATGATTCAAAGCGAGAGCTGAGCAAGGCTCCCGCACCAAGGAGCTACTTGAGTTTTGGGAAAAACTCCCTCTCTTACCTCTCCTAGAGAGAGAAGACCCAAACTCCCTCCTCCTGAGAAGGAGCAGCCTAGAGGCATCACGGCACTTTGTCTGTCATCATTACCCCATCTGCAGATGGGGCTAATAAAAACTTACGGGTATTTTGAGACTGGTACATACAAATATATACCCACCCATATGGAGAAATGGGTGTGTTTATAGAGGTTGGTACATGGATAGATGTATTCTGGGTAGGTAAGATATATTACAGCGCCACTTGTTCCCTGAATTTTTCTTTCTTTCTGTAGCGTAGTTGCTATGTGCCCATGGGAGCCATCGTTTCTGGTCCTTTGAGCAATGGGCTTAATATAACCCAGGCTTGTATCACACACACACAAGAGTACTCGGGGGGGAAGAGAAAATTTGGGGAATGGTTCACAGGCAGGGGATGACATTGATTTCCCCAGGGGCCTCACCCCATGGGAAGGAGAACTATGCTGGGCATATTTCCACAGCCCAGGAGGTCCTCTTGGTGCCAGACTGGGATGGCTGTCCTGGTGGTCCGAGATGTGTCGGTATGTCCCAGAGCTGGTCTAGGGATGTGCTGAGGGCACCCACCAGCCACACGCGTGCAGGAGGGTGCACACACATATAGAGCCACAGGCTGGCCACCTTTGTTCTTCAAGCTAGAAAAGGCTTTTTTCAAAAAGAAGGTATTAAAACTTAAAAATGTCAGACATTATCAGAAAAAAAAAAATGAACCTATTATATTTTCGGTCAAAGTGTTATCTAGCCCAAGATTTTTAAATATGTGCAAAATGCAGTTTATGCAGAAGGACCATTAATCAGCTGCTGGAAGAACTGCCTTTTTTAAGCTGCAAAGATGAAAACAAAAAGCTGTGAGTGCTGGGGCAGCTCCAT